GCCAGTGCTTGTGGAGGCTCCCGATGCTGCCTCCTCTGATGGTAAGCGAATACAGTCATGTACCGTAATGTTGCGTATAAAAGCAGGTGTTTAAGCCGGGGTTCATGCCATGCTTTTATCCAAGTGATGCTTCTATTCAAAACATGCTTCCACGTCAACATCATCAGTGCACACTGTGCAGTGCACACTGTGACGCGTGTACTATGCAAGTACTTGCAAGTGTATTTGCAGAGAGCGGCTTTTATTCAAATCATGCTTCTGTGTCACGGCGCTCTACGACCAATAGGCTTCTATCCGAGTCATGGTTTTGATACAGGTCATGGTTTTATACAGGCCATGGTCTTATACGTGACATTACGGTATGCAAAACACAGTTTTGCTTGATGAAATCCGACCCAAAGTGAATATTTACCCCGCCCCTCAACTTGCACTGCCCTTGACGCCCTGGAAGTGGTACGAATGCGGTTTGACGTACACATGTGCAAATAAAGTGATATAATCGGAACTGGTCCAGGGCCCCAGTTTTGCAATTTTGTTTGGATTTCAGGCAATGCAACTTTACATCACAAATGCAGAAGATTTTGGAGTTTTTTTAAGGATAGGCGGTGCAGGATATTGACTGTGGCAATGAAACCAAAATATAACAGGATATAACAATATTTATCTCTCTCTAGTTATGGACTCGGATGGAGAGTCAAGGATAGATTTGTAGAAAACGTATACTCAATCTGCGGACAGAACTCTTTCGTCCTTTGTGGACTCATCAGCGCAGCACAGAGAAAAAAAGAGGCCGAACCTGATAGCAATGAAAATTAAAATTTCCAAAGCCAGATGTTTTTTTTCTTTTTTTTTTAAGAAAAATATTTCTAGTTATCTTTCTTTCTCTAATATTTGGGAAAAATCAAGTTAAAAACATGCCTTTTGAGGGTATTGCCATAATTTGCCATCCTTTCATGATAAAAATGATAATGCTCTAAAAGACCTTCAGTGGACTTCAGGTGCGAGACTGAAGACTGAGGAAGAAAACAGAAAAACTCGCCTTCAATATTGGTCGGGCTCCACCCATTGATGCCTATGCTGTGTTAGAATAGGGACATGATATGAAAATTCCTTGTTTCAACCTAAAAATTCCAACCAGTCTGCCAGCTCTCCTGTGGCAATTTGTTGTCGTCTTGGATATGAGTGACAGTCTAATGGTGATATTAGACACCCTTAGCAAAAAACGTTATGTTGTAACGGTATTATCGTAAGGGGGAAAATACCGTTATTTGGGTTCGACCTTTAGCAAGATGCACGCTATTTTTAGTACGCTGTTGCCAAGAGAATAGCTTTGATTTCGCGCGGTACAACCATTTTGGTCACCATATACGCGATACAAGGTGAAATGCGTACGGACTATGCAATATTTGGCCAAAACACGTACCGTTGGTCACAACGATAAATCAGCCCCCATAACGTTTATACGCTGCAGCTTCAACACTATTTGGGTGATCAAGGTACGAGTACCGTAAAAAATAGCGTTACCGTTGTTTGCTAAGGGTGTCTATTATGTGTGCAACATGGCTCAGTACACATAGAATGGAGTTGTTTTTTTCCATTTTTTTTTGGTTTTTCCCGCCCGCCCGCGTGGATTTTCCAGAATATGTCTGACTCGAAACATAGAATTAACTTGGCGTGGCCTTAGATTTGAAAATAATTGAACTTTGCTTGCGCTTGTACTGTTTTTACTGTATCTCCTATTCACATTTTGTGCCAATACAGAAACGACGCTGCGGTGAGGCTGAGTGCCCTCAGGCTGCCTGGGAAGCTAGCGATGAATGGACGGAGTGTCGGCCATCGTGCGGGGCGGGCGAGCGAACAAGACAGGTCACCTGCATGGCTCCTACTGGAGATGGCAATGCAAGCGAGCCAGTCGCCGACAGCCGTTGCAGCGCTGCGGGCACCAAGCCCAAGGCAGTCCTTCCATGCTCCGGTATTCCCTGCACACCTGTCTGGGCGCAGATGCCCTACACCAAGTGTGATCCACTGAGTTGGCCGTCGACACGGCAACGCGACGTCCTGTGCTTGCGTCGCACTTCCTTGACAATGTACGAGCGGCTAGCTGACGAAGAGTGTGCCATTGTCAAGCCCAAACCGCGCACCTCCAGAGGTTGTCCGCGGCCCCGTACTTCAGGCAAATAATGCCTTTCACTGCATATTGGAAATGCTCAGATTAGGCTTCTCTGGCCTGACTGTAGTTTTGCCTTTAAACTATTTCTCCGTCTCTCTCCCCTCTTTCTCTTTAGACACAACACTAAAGCACAAGGAAACAGTCATTATTTTCACCACTCTTCTCGCATGTCTCATCTCTCGTTTCACAAAATTACCTTCTTATTTTTTGAAAACCTACAAAAATTATGTCTTCCTTCCTATTCGTCGCCTGACATATTCACACCAAGATGTTATAGCGTTCTCAGTATGTTGCAATATTTTGTCTCCCTACATATAGCTATGCACTGTATTTTCGTGTGTGTCAAGCCTCTTGTGTGGGCAAAAATGCCATCATAATTAATTAATGTAGATTGCAAGTAAATCCAAAGTTAAAATTTTTTAAATGCAAGTAAAACCCAAAACAATGAAAATAACTCAAAGCAACAGTTTCTTTGATTTGTATGCCGGCACACCGCACGTTCTAGATTCGTGGTTGGAGGGAAACAAATCAGCAAACGAAGCATAGAAACCGTAATTATAGTTACGACTAGGCCTTTTGTACCATTACATTCCAAATCGCATGCAATGGTAATTAACGGTGGCTGGGACTTGCTTGCTGCCGTGTTAATCACCATTGTATTCGACTTGAAAAGCAGTGGTACGAAAGGCCTAGCCGAAACTGTAATGGATTCTGTTCTTCGTGCGCTGACTGAATGCTTCATCTCTGTAATCCTCAGGTGACGGGAGAATGAGTTACCTACTGGTGACATTGAATGAAACGTAAAGTCAATGTTCAATAATGATAGACTGCCTAGGGATAAAGTCATGAGTGTACCCACCCCGCGTACGCCCACTAGTGGATCAAAATAACTAGAAATTGTCCTGAAGTTGATTGTTCCAACTAGGAACACACGCTTCTTGCCGAACTTGACACTGGACAGACTGACTCACGACTGCCATCCGGAGCACACGAGGAGCACGTCGCACCTTCCACTCGGCAAACCTGCAAGAAAGCACCACTCCCTGCTCAATACACAGTATTTCGGGGAATTCACCCCTCCTCAGTTGAGCTTGAGTAGGCGGCTCCGGATGGCAGTCGTGAGTCAGTCAAGTGTCAAGTTCGGCAAGAAGCGTGTGTTCCTAGTTGGAACAATCAACTTCATGACTATTACCGCTGAAGTCGCAACTTCTAAGTTCGCAGAAATTGTCCGTGAACTCAATTCATTTTCGGAGGCACTAGTGCACCCTTTGCCAGCAGTTTGTAGCATGCAGGATGGTACGTGTGTGTGTGTGTACGTGTGTGTGTGTGTGTGTGTGTGTGTGTGTGTGTGTGTGTGTGTGTGTGTGTGTGTGTGTGTGTGTGTGTGTGTCTGCACATGTACATGTATGTGTGTGTGATTGTGCCTTTGCTTGAATGCCGACTGTACTGTATTGTAGATCTACTTGGCAACTGCTGTACATCGTACACCCGAAATAACATACTATGGGGTACTGTTGCCTCTAGTGTGAACAGTGCAGTGGAATAGTAGAAGACGAGCAGTTTCAGTCCCAACCCTGAATTTCACTACAGATTCTCTTCAGGCTCTAATATTGCATTATGACCAAACGTGCACTAATATTGCTGGCGCTGCGGTCCGCTAGGCGATACCTGACTGGCAATGGGCCATCTGACCTGGGATGTGATGTACCTTTGATGTAACTTGCAGATATCTTGGACCTTCGGAGTATGTGTATGTCATCGTGACCGAAGGGTGCTCTCCTAAACACACATGTCGTCAGTGCCCTGCTACTGAGGAGCTGCACCAGCATCCACAATACTGCACTGCACAAAAATGATGCAGTTTGTTGCTTGCAGATTACGCTATTCGGTCATGCACATGACGGTGAACATTGATGTCATTGGGCACGGATCTGAACACGTAGTAAGATAACCCCAGGATTCGCTCAAGCCATGGCACTGCATTTCTATATTGACCTTCAACGGAGTATCTGGTGAGAACTCGGCTCAATCCCTGGGACAGAAAAGGACATGCGGGCTGTGTGTGCAGTACCGTACTTGCCCTGACGCCGTTTTTCTTTTGCTATATTAAACGCTAATTAATGTGATGCTAGTATGGATGTGTGGAATCCGTCAACGGCACAAGCACGCACACGTACACGTACATGACATGTGCATTGTACTTGCGTAGATGATTCTGGCACAAGCAAAGGCACTCATCTCGTCGCAAGGACTCAGAAGTCCGAGCATACCCTGGCCTGATCTGGTCTGGCCTCAGTGGCCTGGCCTTGGTGACGTGACTCAACCAGGGTTGTGATTCTCTCTCAGAGGTCTAGGTACTAAGTAGATGATTGTATAGTACTGGAGGTATGAAAAGTCCACCCTCCCAGTACAACCAGTCCACCGCCCCGGTGCCCATGCATACTCCGTCATCATGCACTGGTAGCTATGATTGATAAATATGGTGGTAAAGACACACCTGGCAATAAACTGCCGGCAAACACACGCCTGTCCACACGCGCTCTCTAAGCTGCAAAGTTCTAGATCAGAGCTCTCCTTCTCACCACCATCACCATCGGTTCGCGCCTGGCGCCTAGTCGATGCATGTACCATAAGTACAGCTGCAGTGGTGTCTTCTACTTCATTCTCCCGAGATAGCTATGATAATACATGTAATAATAATAATATTATTGTAAGGTGGCATGACACTGTGTCAGCGACTCAGCGACCCACTGGAATGCTCTTATCGCGCTCTATGCTAGCCAAATAACCGAATACTAGTAACCGAATAACCGAATAACAGAATAACCGAATAACCTAATAGCCGAATAACCGAATAACCGAATAACCAAATAACCGAATAACCGAATAACCGAATAACCGAATAACCGAATAACCGAATAACCGAATAACCGAATAACCGAATAACCGAATAACCGACGACAAGTACAGTGCAAAAATACAATCATGTACAGTGCGTGTAGGAGCGCTACGTGTCAACCCTCCACATAGGCCTTGTCAAAGATTGAGTGGCCGTGACACGTGTCAAACGTAGGAGACAGCCCGAGGCCAGCAAGCTGTCCAGCTGGGTCGACTGGCGCTCGCCCGGTAGCAAGCAGGACTGAACACCGACAGTGATCCACTATATCACCTGCAGCATAGAACGATATGAGGTGCCAGCGCATTTATTATATTCTTGGAACGTCTTTTGAGTTTAGATTAGTCTGGGAGAAGCCATGTTCGGCAGGCGTAGTGTCCCTGCCGATAAAGCATTTGCATTTAATTTTGATTTTGGAAAACATCTGGGCACGATTTTGAAGATGAATGCGAGGAGAGTTACTGGAGCGTTGATGGCAAGGAATTGGAAGTGACTGAACATAGAGATACAGGAATCCATGAATATGTATATGCTCCAAATGAAGAGGAGTGAAGACCAATTTCACCGGCTTCTCGATGAGCCTGATGTGGGATCTGAGTCGAGGGAGCAAGCGGATAACAGTGGAGGTAAAGCTATGGAGCTATGCCCAAAAACAGAACATCAATCTCCAAACCCTGGCAGGATTTCATTCATGAAACTGTTTCTCTGGCAAAGTTGGTAGATGGTGGAAAATGTATTGCACCATGCAAGACCGAACGCACGCAACCGCTTGTTGCTTCGGAAGTTCGCGGGCTTTTCCGTGATGTTCACAACTTTGAAGATGGGGCAGATGCATTATTCTCATTTAGTGACCAGCATAATATTATGATCCATGTCATGATCAAGTGCACACAATAAGGGGAAATTGCACACTGGACAGTACTCTACGTTGAGTGAAGGCGACTTCTTGGCATTTGCTTCGCTACCATTCGCAAGAGGCGTCCCCTGTACCCACACTAATCCGCTCACGACACCTCGACTGGATAAGAAGGGAAGTGATATAATCAAGTAAAAATCCCTAGACTTGAATAATTTCCGGGAACTACTCTGCTACGTGAGGTTTGATCACAAAGATAGTCACCAGACACGGCGCCGAACGGAAACTATTTTGGCTGCTATGAATCGCGACACCACTTTCTCCGTTCGCTCGTAGATTTATTTATCACAGTAGTCAATGAATCACCAACCTTGCACAGGCAAATCCAGGAAGTAAGTTGACAAAGCAGCAGCCATTTAACCCATAGACATCCGTTTCTATATATTGCCAAAACTTTTGCCAAAAGGAAAACCAAACATGTACATGACTGTGTGTATGTGTAAGTCCGGTGGAGTCATAATATTATGACTCCACTGGACTTACACATACATGTACATAACTGTATGTATGTGTAAGTCCGGTGGAGTCATAATAATTATTATCATGCCTCCGGCAGTCTAGGGTAGTTGAAAGTAAGCTACATGTACACTGTATTTTGGTAGTTCTAGGGTTACATAAACAAGAAGTCATGCACAGCGTGTGGATGCATTGTCGCATGCCCATATGCCTGTGCATTGCATGACAGAAGCCAGTGTCGATGCATAACAGCACTCTCCTCCTGTCCAAACCTCAATCAAAGAACAGCGCGTCAGATTGAAGCTGTCCTATGCTACTGGCACTGCTCTTCATTAGGTCGACAGATGAATGGAGGCGAATAACAAAGCGACACTCCACCACACTCCGATCTCCGTAAATCCCAGAGTAATTTCCCATAGCTAAAATCAGTAACTGTTCTATTACGCTATTCGGGAGCCTGATGCAAAATTTGACTAGCACGAACTTTTCTCGGATTGTCCAACGCACTGATCCTTGGCCTTGGGTGGAGATTTTCACAAAGGCGCATCACCTTCCGTGGGCGTCAATCGCGGCTTTCGAAACATATTTCACATGTAGCTGGAAAAGCTACGGAGGCTGCAGCTCGCCGGTGATAGAGTTCACAACGTGATTCTTGCAGTGAACAAGTAGCATTTTAGCAGGCCGAGTGTTGTGGATTGGACGTCGGGGCTAGCCTTGCCCAATTTTCCAATCAATCGATCCGAAGTAATATTTGTTCATTTCGACACCCACTCATTAGGCCGTGGTCCTGCAACTCGCCTGTCATAATTATATAACCTGGAGCTGGCTGGGATTATATTCTGTCAGCTACAGTACCGGTACTCTCATTGTAAAGCAGTTCATCTAAAGGATCACCTTCTCCTCAGTACCAAACCTTCTATCGTCGTTTCGGCGAACGGCCTACAGAATTTCTCTTCGAATCTCACGATTGTTCTGGTGTGCAACTGCTGGAAGGACGCAACTCCAAGGGACCCGCAGGAACGTCGCAAGACACCTTTACAAGGTAAGTTAGTTAGTAAACCG